TGTTTCACTCACAGTTTCTTTTGTCCCTCACTGCATCCTCACTATGCAAACATCTGCCCAAAAGGACTCATGAGCAATGCTGGCTAGCAACCTCTAAGAGACAATCACTTATTTTAAGAACATGATAGAGAGAATCGGACACCTCTTTCAACTGGTGTATGATGGAGGCAATGACTCTGAAAAGTAAGAGGAGAGTTATGAAATACAATACAGAAATTTTAAAAAGTAATACACCTGGATCTACTCCATTCACACCTAGCCATTTATGCATGCCCTAGAACAATGTTCTTCAAGCTTGGCTAAGGTAGCAGGGGATGTTGGGAGTTGTAGTCCAATAACATCCAAGGACTCAAGGATTAAGAGCACTACCTTAGAAATTGTTGCAGCAAAACATTGCAAGGGAAAGCTGGCAACACTAATGCGGCGGCATGCTTGCCACTACTATTCTTCTTTTGAAAAATCCACAATGAAATTTCAAGGTTCTTCATGGTTCATGGGTGCAGTTTTTAAGACATTGCACTGAACAGTTGAGTCTACAGCATTCTGATGAAGGTGATCTGCGCCATCTGTTTTAACTGCCTGGGAGAATGGAAGACTGCATTTGCACCTGTGCATAATTACTTTCATGTATGAAACCAGGAAAAACACTAATTACACATCCGTCAAAACAAATTGATGGCAAGCGAAACTGCCATGTGCTCTCCTCCCTTCTGCAGGCAGTCCAAGACACCTATTAAATCAATAAGCAATTTAGCTTGCAACATCTTTCCTTCCACCCTAGAGTTATTTTTACTGAGCCACCCAGGGACAAGGCATTACTACACCTACAGAAACGCAAAGATCCATGCTTCTATTTGAAAGGCTTTCTTAGTTTGTTGGGCTATATTACAAGAAGGGTTATGGTTTTATTATGTTTTTATATCTGTTGGAAGCCACCCAGAGTGGCTGGGGCACCCAGTCAAATTGGCAGAGTACAAATAATAAAATTATTATAAGGCTAATTCCACATGATCCAAACAGTTGCCCCTTCTACTTAAAACCTGTAACTTGCCTTTAGCCTTATTAAATAGTAAAGCTTTCTCCTAAGCAACCAGACACTGGACCTCTAGGGGAGAAAATGTTAGCTATGTACAAGTTGTCAGACAAGGATAATCTGAACAACTGTTAAAATGCAAAATCCACCCCCACCCCAGAACACCCTTAAAAACCAAAGCAAAAAATGTTTGCAGGTCCCAATCTACTAATAGTTGCTCCTGAAAGGTAGAGCAACCCTAGATCACTGTCTGCTTCAGATGTTGTTAATGGAAGAGCCATGCCAAATTCCTGCACTTTTGAAGTAAGGAGCAACTGTCTCCAGACAGCAAACTGGTCTATCCCACCCACTGCTGATGAGCTGGTCACATTCTCTTAGTGCATAAACAGGCCAGCCACCCATAATAAATTCCAGCTACTATGGCAAGCCCTTCTCAAGAGCTAAGAGGAACTGCACACAACTGGATTTTGGAGTTGGGAAACCTACACACACCTTCAGTGCTCATTTGCAAGGCCAAGTATGGGTTATGTCATAATACAACTCTTCTCATAGCAATCAAAGGTTCCCAATATATGCATACACCATCTGGAGTGTGTCTGTTCCAAGTCTACATGTGCAGCCATTTATTTATTTGCTACATTTCTATACCACCTTTTCTTCCAAGGAGCTCAAGGTGGTGTACATGGTTCCCCTCCTCTCCATTTCATATTCACAACAACCCTGTGATGTAGGTTAGGCTGTGAGGATGGTGACTAGCCCAAGGTCACCATGTCTCCCAGGTCAAAGTCGCAACACTCTAAGCATTATGCCACACTGGCTCTCAGCCTTGGCATATTTATATGTGATTTACACATTAACTCTCTCAGTCCAGGTGATCATCTGGTATTCTGCCACGCAACTGCCTCCCCTGTGGCACAGCTACAATAGCTTGAGGCTTTGTGCTGCTTCATTCTAAAGACAAAAGTACAAGTCATAATTCAAGCTTTGTCTGACCCTCTGATCAGTTTGATCACTCCAATCTCAGCACCTCATACTAGTTTAAATGAACAGACTTCCATACTGACAAGAGACATACCTTAATTATCAGTCATGGGAGAGGTCACTACACTGATTGTCTCAAGGCAAGCAGAATGCATTTAAATTACCAAGTTTTAAGTTATGTGCTGTCCCCATGACTTCTCCAAATCACATCCTCATTTTCCGGTGGCATGTGATTTCCACGAAGATAAACATGAAACTGATTCCGCATGATCACCCAACAATAAATTATTGAGTGTTAGCCCAGGGGAAGGGAACCTCTGACCCACAGGCCAAATGTGGCCCACCAGCCCTCCTCATTCAGCTCATAAGAACCTTTTCCCCAAGCCACACCCACCTGCCCAAGACAGACACATGGGGAAGAGAGAAAAAGTAATTTCCCCCCACCCCAAAAAAAAAAATATGTTGAAATGATGCACAGGGAACTCTATCTTTCTAGGGGCAGCTTCTCATCCCACTCTACAGGCAAATTATGACAAATGAGCAGGTTAAGCCACCTGTCATTCCCCCCAACTTCATTTTTTCCATGAACTTGTTAGTTTTCTTTTACAAAATGCATCTGAAAGTGACTTACAAAAAATAGCATGTGCATTAAAACCACCACAGAACTAAAAGAGTACAAGCTAAAAACACATTCCTTTTTCTAAAAAGGCACATCCCACCCATTGAGGGCCACAGATAGTTAAATACCAAAGACCTGGCAGAAAAGAAAAGCTTTTAACTGGCACCCAAAGTTCACTTAACAGTCACAGCCAATCGCTGGGTTTCATGTTCAAAAGTACTTCACATACATTATAATCTCATCAATCTTTACAAGGCTACTATTGATGAAACTCATGAAATTTTAGTGTTTTTGGCACTGAGTTTTGAATCTCCCTTTCCTATGAATTCAACTAACAGTTTACAGCACAATTCTCTGGGACTTTCTTCTCAGTAAGCACACAACATGTTCAATTGGGCTCATTCTCAGGCAAGTGTATATAAGAGCTACAACCAGAGGGTGTTAGTTAATAGGAAAAGGCCCAAGAAACCTGCAAACGAATAATGACAGGATAGGTTAAAATTAGATGAACTCATAGCCAAAAAGTTTAATAAGGCACAATGGTTCTGTCTCTAAACACCAGTTGCTCGGAAAATCAAGCAAGGAGAGTGCTATTGTGCTTACGATATGCCATGTGCATCAGGCTGGACACCGTGAAAACAGAGTGCCGGACCAGGTAAGCCTGTGGTGTGATCCCTCTTATTTACTTACAAAGACAACTGGCCAAGTAGAAGGGAGAGACCAGAGTTTGCACAAGAGCAGAAGGGCATAAGGCTCCATTAGCAGAGGGTGGCAATTGTGTCAAGGAAAATTGGCTGGACTAACTGAAGACACCTCCAAGCCAAATAGAAACACCATAGTTAGCTGAAACCCAGTTGCTGGCTTTTGCTTTCGTGCCCTACTTGTGGGTTTCTGGAGTGCACTTGTCTAGTCACTGCTGAAAAACAGAATAATCATGAGTTCATTTAAGTTTAATGTAAGAAAGCAGCAGCCTGGGGCAAAGAGTTGTGAGAAAGCACATTCTGTCATTCAAACAGGCACCAAGCACCACTGGGAGATTACACCACCCGCTTTCCTGGAAGAACATGATGCACAAGGGTGAAGCCGACGTGGCTCCATTGGCCACCCAAAGAAAAGCAGCTGCAAGAAGCTTGCTTTACCCCCTCCCTGCCAGAAATGAAATTTATTAAGCACCTTCCAAAAGAAACACTAGTGTCAAGAGTATGTATGCATTTTTCCTCCTCCCTCCAAATCTTTTTCCTCTTACGTACTGTATCTCTTTTTTAGGACTGTGAGCTTGAAGACACGAGCAGTCTTATTACTGATCCTTGAGAGTCACTCTGGGAGTCTTCTTAAAAAGGCAAGTACAGTGGTACCTCGAGTTAAGTACTTAATTCGTTCCGGAGGTCCGAATCACTTTAACTAATGCATCACTTTAACTAATGGAGCATCACTTTAACTAATGGAGCCTCCCACTGCCGCCACACCGCCGCTGCGCAATTTCTGTTCTCATCCTGAAGCAAAGTTCTTAACCCGAGGTACTATTTCTGGGTTAGTGGAGTCTGTAACCTGTAGCGTATGTAAGCAAAGGTACCACTGTACCAGTACTTTTTTAAGTATGTAAGAATACTTGACACTGGGCCCCTCCAGTCACACTCATCCTGACCTCCTTGCACAAACATTGTCGCAGAGCTTAGATTATATCCCATTTTCACTGAGTCTTCCATCTTTGCTGAGCATATATTCCAATTCGTTTATAGGGCAGTTAGACACCACTGAGCATTCAAACCCATCTCCATCCTGATTTATATGTTTTCCCATGGCTCACTCATTTGCCCCACACTTTTCAATGCCTGTCACTTTCCAAACTTATGTTTAAACGTGGCTTCTGTTGGCACTAGGGAGAACAGGGACCATTGGACCCACCTGAACTGCAGTTATATTGTAAATTCCTATGAATAAATTACCAATAATAAATTTAATTATTTAATATTTAACTTAATACTATTAATGGGAAACTTATTAACAAATTATTCAGAAACTATTGTCATTGATTTTAATATCAATTCATTTAATACCAATTGGCAAACTATCAATAAGTTACTAATTATTATTAATGAATTACTATTAATAAGAAATTATTGCCTATTATTATTACTTTTTAAATATATGCATGTAAACTTTTGTCCTTATTTCCTGACACTTTTCCAAATTGGAAAAAAAAACATTTTTATTCTTTTGAAACGTGGCTCTGTTGCACTGGGGGGACAGGGACCCTTGCCTTGCCCCACCTGAAGCGAGAACACCTTAGCCAAGGACTACTTTTAAATATATGGCCTATCAGCTTTTTCCCCTCCGCTGAGGCGAACCCGCTCTTCCCCGCCTTACCTTCTGGGTGACATAGCAGGTGCGGTAAGTGCGGGAGTCATAGAGGACGCCGGGGTCGGGGCGGGACGCCGTGCGGAGAGAAGGGGTCCGGGGACGACGACGCCCCTGAAACAAGGCACACAGCCTCCAACAACCCAAGTATCGCCGGAAGCCTCATGATAAGACTACCTCAGCCGCACTAGGCCGCAATTTTGCAACAGGGAATTTCACTAATGTGAGCTGTTTTTGAGCTCAGAAACTGCTCGCGCTAATGAAATTCCCTGTCGCAAAATGTGCCTAGGACAATGGGAGTTTCAAACAACCGGCTAAATTTTGCTTTTGTGCAGTTTGATTTCAACATTTGACAATGTACATTAAAAAGTTTACTATCCTTTTAATGTTGTTTTTAGTTCTTGCCACCCCAAAAGAAGCTATTTATCTAGTAAGGATATATCTACAAGGGCAGCTCTTCTAGAGTCAGATTCCATAGGGCAGTTCCAAACCAAACTGAAAATGGGTTTCTTCGGGAGTTTCCAATCCTTGGGTGTTGGTGGAAAAGCCACTACTAGTCACACCTTTCATTCTAATGAGTTTTAGGGCTCCACAACATTTAAGCAACCAATGATACTCCATTGTTAAGAAGGTATTGCTTAGTCAATGTGATATGACAGCCTTCTCTTGAATGTCAGGTGCTAAATAAGGATAGGATAATAAGGATAGATAATCCTATATTATATAAACAGACAGAAACAATCCTAATTCGGTATATTGGATATGAAAGCTGACTGAAATAAATTCCAGTAAGGAGTTTCAGCTTCATGTTGAATTAGGGTCAAAGTAGACATGATTAGGGCTGAAATAACATATGCATCTACTGTATTGCACAATGGGTGGCAAGGATTTCCTCCCCATTCCAGCTTCAGAGGGGGCTTCCTCGGAAACTAACAGTAAGAGGAGAACAGCAAAGCTCTCCCTCCATTGCTACTCTTACCCTGTTAATTATCCTAAAATGCTACTTGCTGTTTTGACCCTTTACTTACTAAAAATACCACTGCTTAAGAGTGGAAATGAGCCCAGGTAGAGCTAGGAGGGCACACTTCTTCCTCTGTAGAGGATGAAAAGTTAAGATACAGTGATGAGGGAGGATCTTGTAGTTTTCTTTATCTGTTCCTTCTTTCTTTCGTTTCTTTCTTTTCTATATTTCCTGTAGATTAGTTTGTTTCTTTTATTGTATTGTGAAAACTTTCAATAAACTTTTTCTCCGGAAAAAAATAAAAGGAATAAAAATAAAATACCACTGGTTAACTTGCCCATATTGTGACTTCTTCACTATTGGGGGCCATATCCACAAGTTATATCAATAACCAGCATGGGCTTGCTTCCAAGCATACATTCAGCAGGAAGTTGAAGTCAAACCTTTGCTCTTTTAAGAGATGCACTTAAAAGGACAATGTTTTCAAAGCACTAGCTTGTCAGTCACATTAGTGACACAATGCTTTTGCCCTACAAAGTTTACAGTCACACCTTGGTTGTCGAACTTAATCCGTTCCGGAGTTCGTTCGAACTCCCGAAACAGTTCGAAAACCAAGGCATAGACTTCCGATTGGCTGCAGGAGCTTTCTGCACTCAAATTGGAAGCTGCCGGGTTTGCCGTGTTCGGGAGCCAAAACATCCAAGTACCAAAGCGTTCAAGAACCAAGGTACGACTATATTTCACAATCTTGATCCTTCAAAAGTTTGCTTGGCTCCCCAAAAAGTTAACAGATTCTAGCCCTTGTGGCTTTTGGAAAGGCAATTATGTACCTGACTGAACACTCAACTAGAAAGCAACGTAAGAGTGATTGCCCAAAGCCTGTAATCTTACACAGTATAAGCTTGCTTGAAAGCTACAGTTGTTTATAAATGAAGCTTTGCATTCTCTTGCCCTGTAAGGCACTTAATACTAAGATATATGAAGTCTATGTAGTAAAACCCAGCGGTAAGAAAGACAGCTCCTTTCTCCACAGGTCTAATCCTAAGGCAAAGCCAAAATGGGACACCATGAAATGCTTGAAAGAAAAGCAATTGAAGAGGACTCACAGGCAGTTATACAAATTCAACAAGTCAGACTGAGCAGATCAAGCCACAGGGGAAATACCAGGGAAAATATGTTATTTGCGGGGGGCGGGGGGGAGATCAACTTCCCACTAGAAATAATATTATTATATATCTTGCATGCCAGTGATGCTGAGGATCATTAGTAAGTAATGAAAATTGGTTATAATTAAAAAAAAATGATCCTGCAATTGTATGCTGATGCACCACTTCATGGGTTCTTAACTAGGGAACACATTTATCTTCAGCTGGAGGATTCTACCTGTCTACTCAGATGGGAAGGGAAATGAAAAGAGGGGTAGTTTGCTCTATCTCACCACTAGCAGAAGTGCAGTTGAATGGGTATGCAGGAGAGGACTCTTCATTAATGGCAACCTGGATTTTGAGAAACGCCCTAACGCAAATTGAACTTTCTTTAGATGGTGCTTCATCAACCAATAACAAATTTATTTATCTGGGCCTTTAGCTTACATAATAAATGGTTTGCTAACATACCACGTGTAAATTTGGATGTTTACTGTATTGCTTTTAATTGATGCTGAACCAACCTTCAAAGTGCTTTGGAATGGAAAAGGAAAGAATAACACCATTTCTAATAAAAAATAAGATATTGACATGGAAGAATGGGGAGTTTGAACACCATGTCCATCATGCAGTTCATTGGGTAGCCTGTGTCATGTCACTTCCTCAGCTCCAAGAATATAGTTGGGGTGATCTTATGTTAACCACCAATTATTTAGAGCAGGCTTCACTCAACCTTGGCCCTCCATGATGTTTTTGAGATACAATTCCCATCATCCCTGAGACACTGGTCCTGCTAGCTAGGATCATGGGAGCTCTAGGCCAAAAACATCTGGAAGGCCGAGGTTGAGGAATCCTGGTTTTAGAGGGAGAAAAGTGGGGTGCAAGTATCATAGTACAGCTGAAACTAGAAAGAACTCATGTCTGCCAAAGAGAAAGATGATGGGGAAGCTGTGACCTTCCAGATGTTTCAGACTACAACTCCCATCAGTCCCAGTCAGCATGGCTAATGGTCAAGGACCCACCTACATCTGAAAAAGCCACAGGTTTTCCTCCACCCCGGTATAAGGGATCCTGCAATGCTAATACTTTTTGTGTGAGAATGTGTGAAGGTGGGGTTGATGAAGTGGGGGAATGCACATATCTAAGCCCTTGTTACTGCATTAAGCAACTGCGGTTGAAGGAAAAGCTGGAAATTATGAAAAGGAAACTCTTCAATTACAGACATCCTTAAAGAGTCGTGTCTGCAGTCTGACCTACAGATTAAGTGCATAAAAATAAAGTTTTCACTGAGAAAACACAAGGCAACTACTTCCACTATTTCCAGGAGACTATTGTTCAAAGGCCTATTGTTTTCACTCACAGTTTCTTTTGTCCCTCACTGCATCTCACTATGCAAACATCTGCCAAAAGGACTCATGAGCAATGCTGGCTAGCAACCTCTAAGAAGACAATCACTTATTTTAAGAACATGATAGAGAGAGAATCGGACACCTCTTTTCAACTGGTGTATGATGGAGGCAATGACTCCTGAAAAGTAAGAGGAGAGTTATGAATACAATACAGAAATTTTAAAAAAGTAATACACCTGGATCTACTCCATTCACACCTAGCCATTTATGCATGCCTAGAACCAATGTTCTTCAAGCTTGGCTAAGGTAGCAGGGGATGTTGGGAGTTGTAGTCCAATAACATCCAAGGACTCAAAGGATTAAGAGCACTACCTTAGAAATTGTTGGAAGCAAAACATTGCAAGGGAAAGCTGGCAACACTAATCGGCGGCATGCTTGCCACTAACTATTCTTCTTTTGAAAAAATCCACAATGAAAATTTCAAGGTTCTTCATGGTTCATGGGTGCAGTTTTTAAGAACATTGCACTGAACAGTTGAGTCTACAGCATTCTGATGAAGGTGATCTGCGCATCTGTTTTAACTGCCTGGGAGAATGGAAAGACTGCATTTGCACCTGTGCATAATTTACTTTCATGTATGAAACCAGGAAAAACACTAATTAACATCCGTCAAAAACAAATTGATGGCAAGCGAAACTGCCATGTGCTCTCCTCCCTTCTGCAGGCAGTCCAAGACACCATTAAATCAATAAGCAATTTAGCTTGCAACATCTTTTCCTTCCACCCTAGAGTTATTTTTACTGAGTCCACCCAGGGACAAAGGCATTACTACACCTACAGAAACGCAAAGATCCATGCTTCTATTGGAAAGGCTTTCTTAGTTTGTTGGGCTATATTACAAGAAGGGTTATGGTTTTATTATGTTTTTATATCTGTTGGAAGCCACCCAGAGTGGCTGGGGCAACCCAGTCAAAATTGGCAGAGTACAAATAATAAAATTATTATAAGGCTATTCCACATGATCAAACAGTTGCCTTACTAACCTTTCTTAAACCTGTAACTTGCCTTTAGCCTTATTAAAATAGTAAAGCTTTCTCCTAGCCTATAGCACACAGACACTGGACCTCTAGGGGAGAAATGTTAGCTATGTAACAAGTTGTCAGACAAGGATAATCTGAAACAACTGTTAAAAATGCAAAAATCCATCCCCACCCCAGAACACCCCTTAAAAACCAAAGCAAAATGTTTGCAGGTCCCAATCTACTAATAGTTGCTCTGAAAGGTAGAGCCAACCACTAGATCACTGTCCTGCTTCAGATGTTGTTAATGGAAGAAGCATGCCAAATTCCTGCACTTTTGAAGTAAGGAGCAACTGTCTCCAGAACAGCAAACTGGTCTATCCCACCCACTGCTGATGAGCTGGTCACATTCTCTTATGCATAACAGGCAGCCACCATAATAAATTCCAGCTACTATGGCAAGCCCTTCTCAGAGCTAAGAGGAACTGCACACCAACTGGATTTTGGAGTTGGGAAACTACACACACCTTCAAGTGCTCATTTGCAAGGACCAATATGGTTATGTCATAATACAACTCTTCTCATAGCAATCAAAGGTTCCCAATATATGCATACACCATCTGAGTGTGTCTGTT